AAGGCTGTGGAGAGGCTCCTTTAAATGGAGTAGAAGGTTTGTGTGTCCTGTTCTATGTCTTCCCCTGTCCCCTGTAAAGATGGCGCCAGTCACGCCTTGAAATGCAGAGTGAACAGACGATCAATAGCTCCTTACTTCTGGCCAGGGTGTGGTAACGGCTAGGCCATTAGCGCACTGTTGGGCTCTTTCCACGGACATGTGTTTCCCCGAAGCCACTACAGCATTTCCGAGGCACTTGGCTTCCTCTCCTAGCTAGCCTGCACAGCCTCCGGGAGGAAGGGCTCCAGCTCTCTGTGCTTACGAAGAAGGTAATGCATGTCAAATTGCCTTGGCTCACCCAGGCAATTGTGCACCTTTGAAAGGTGCAGGGAAATGTCTCTCCGTGGTCAGATCGGCCCATCACACACATCTGTTGTCTTGACCAAACTCCAGCAATCTGCCCTCACTTTGCTGCTGGCTGGAGTCCCAGGCCTGGGCAGGAGACTGTACAAAGTCAGTAGACTAGAGTCCTGGCTGTCCCCAAGCACTGCGAGCAGCAGTCAAAGAAGTCAGCATTCATGGGTCCCCACAGCACAAGATAACCCAAGAAACCTACAAGGGATTCTGAAGAGACTCAAAGGAAAAGGAGAGGAAGGCAGAGAATTTGCCTGTAGAAAAAAAATATTCTCAGCACTTCAGGGGAATGCTGGGAGGGATCTGTAGCCAGGGCCTCCATAGCTTCTGGAAGGCAATCATCTTACAGGATGAGCTCTCTCCCCTCCCCTCCCCTCTTCTCTCCCCTCCCCTCTCCTGGGATGTCGCAGTCACTGATGGTGGTGCTGTTCTGGGAGATGCTGGAACTTTAGCAGGTGAGGCTTTACTGTTGGAGGAAGTGGGTCATGGCAGTTTATCCATGGCTCTTAGTCCCTTCTTTGCTCTCTCTGCTTTGTTTCTGCCATGAGGTGAAGGACTCGCCTGCTTCCCCCCCCCCATGGTGTTCTGCCCAATCACATGGGGCCAAGAACGTACAACCTGAACCCTCTGAGGGCATGAGTCCAAGCAAAGCCTTACTCTCTTGGGTATTTTGTCAAAGCAACAAGCGTAGTAAATGACACTATTTGAGCTAGAACGCTATCACTGTGGTTCCTGAGTCTTCTCAAGGTTTCCATTTTCTGTTATAACATATTATTCATAAGATGTGGATAAAAGACACCCTTGTTTGTTGTAAAATCATTCCTGGCAAACTGGGACTGTAGTTCTCTGGTGACCACCCAAACCACTTGTGGAACACTGTGGCTGTTTGGGAAGATCATGGAGCCTTCAGGAGGTGGAGCCTTATTAGAGGAAATATGTCATTTGGGGGCAGAGTGTGAGCCTTGAGAGTGTATACACTGGCCCCACTTCCTGTTCTCTATCTGTAAATGCAATGTGATAGGCTGGACTCGTGCTCTTGCTGCCCATGCCTCCCCCCCCACAGCAGTCTGTATGCCCTATGGAATAATAAATCAAATAAACCCTTTCTCTCTTAAGTTTCTTTTGTCAGGGTATTCTACCTGTGGTGCTTTGAATAGGAATGTCCCTCACAGACTCATATATTTGAAACCTTGGCCCAAAGGGAGTGGCATTATTAGGAGGTGTGGCCTTGTTGGAGGAAGTGTGTTACTGTGGGGGGTGTGCTTTGAGGTGTCATATGCTCAAGCTATGTCTAGCGTGGCACACAGTCTCCTTTTGCTGCTTGTGGATCAAGGTGTAGAACTCTCAGCTCCTTCTCCAGTACCATGCCTGCCTGCACATGACCACATCCCACCATGATGATAAAGGTCTAAACCTTAGAACTGTAAGCCAGCCCCGATGAAATGTTTTCTTTTATAAGAGTTGCTTGCACCGGGCGGTGGTGGCGCACTCCTTTAATCCCAGCACTCGGGAGGCAGAGGCAGGCGGATCTCTGTGCATTCGAGGCCAGGCTGGACCGATAGCCTCCGAAACAATACAGAGAAACCCTGTCTCGTAAAAACCAAAAAAAAAAAAAAAGTTGCTTGCTTTGCTTCCTGTCCACTGTGTCTCTTGTCCTTTGTCTCTGTCTTGCTGACTCCTTCATCTTGCTGCATGGAAGGTGTATGTAGTGGCTGCTGTTTTGGATCATGACATCAAGAGTCACTCCCTGCATGGAGCCTGGGTCCCTGAGGACCTCGTGGAGCAGACCTGCCTTACTCTCTGAATTGCTCCTCTGGGATCTTTCTCAGGAACAAATGAAATTGTGTTTTCCTTACTACACTGTTACCCAGAGGTCTTCATTAATATCAGCTAAGTTTAAAGCCAATATACCCTAAGATTTCTAGTTGAAAAAAACACAAATGCTGGGAGTATAGCATGAAATTATCAAAAGGGATGAAGTCAGCATTACAAACTGTAAAGCACAGATGGCATGTTTCAGTTCATTTTGCAACAGCTTAAAAAATGACCCAAGTTTTGTTGACAGAAAAGCAAAGCAAAGAAGACTGTGCTCAGGAAGGAGATGGCTGAGCTTTCGGTGTCTTGGTGAGGAGACAAATGAGTGCCAGCATTCTGTTGTGTCACCTCAACCACCATCAAAAAGAAAATCATTTGTGGTGGCGTTTACTCTCATTCCTAATGTTCTACCTCTTCCTAGAATAAGAATATACATTCACAGCCTTCCCCATGTGACACTGGCAGTGGTTCAGTAAGCAAAATATTAACCTTTCCCTTTGAACACCGAGGAAAGACCCATGACTTGTTTGGTCAATAGGATGTTCATGGCTGTGACGAGGGTCAAGGGCTCAATGGGAGCTGAGTCTTGCCTGCCCTTTTACTCTTCTGCCATCTTCTATGAGAAGGACACAGTCTTCAAAACAATGCCCTCACATGAAAACACAATTTTAATCTGGATATGCTCCACAAACCATCCCAGAGTTCCTTTAAAATGATTCAAAGCAGTTGTATTTGGACATAATTCAATATATAAACTGTACCCACCTAAATGATACAATCAGTATGTCTTTGTATTATCAAAGAGCCAAGCAGCCATCACAATTCCAGGATATTTGTTTCATCCCCAAAAGAAACTCCATACCTTGTAGCATTTAATTCCTGCTCTCTAACTCCTCTCCTCCTCAGGACTAGGAAAGCACTCACCTCCTTTCCAGCTGTATAGATGCTCCTATTTCCAACCATTCATATAAAAAGAATCACTTATTATAATCCAGCTTCATCCATGTTGTAGTATTTATCAGAACCTTGTTCCTTTTTATTGCCAAATCATAGTACATTGGATGAATACACCACATTTTATTTATGTATCCATCTGCTGTTGAAGTCAGTAGTATTTTTGATAACCATAGAAATACATGGGGGAAAAGTGAGCTTCACCTCATTTTTTGTAATGTTTTTATTTAAATTAGAAACATGAATGATTTACATGTCAATCACAGCTCTCTCTCCCAACCTTCCTCCCTTGTCCCTCCACCAGACCCCCCCCACAGCGTCCTACTCAATCCCCACATCATTCCCCAGGGAGGGTGTGGCCCTCCTTGGGGGGATCTCTAAAGTCTGTCATTTCATCCAGGGCAGGACCTAGGCCCTTCCCCATGTGTCCAGGCCAAGAGAGCATCTCTCTATTTGGAATGGGCTCCCAAAGATCATTAATAAACCATGGTAAACACTGATCTACTACCAAGGCCCCAGTGATTTCTGTGGCCTCCTCACTGAGACTACATTCATGGAGTCTGGATCCTGTTGGCCTCTCAGGCATCAGTCTGGGATTCAAGAGTGCCTCCTTATCCGGTCAGTTGTCTTTGTGGGTTTCACCATCATGGTCTTGACCCCTTTGCTCATCACTCCTCCATCTCTGTCACTAGGTTCCAGGAGTTCAGTTCAGTGTTTAGCTGTGGATATCTGTCTCTGCTTCCATCAGTCACTGGATGAAGGTTCTAGGATGGCATATAAGGTAGTCATCAACCTTACCATCAAGGAGGGGCATTTAATGTAGTCTCTCCACTATTGCTTAGTTTGCCAGTTGGTGTTATCCTTATAGATCTCTGGAGATCTCACTAGTGTTGCTCTCTCCTTAAGCCTATAATGACTCAATCTATTTTGGTATCTCTCATCCTGCCCTCCTCTATTCTTACCTCGACTCAAACTTCCTGGTCCCCCATACCTTCTTCTCTCCTCCTCTTATCCCTCTCTCTTTTTCCTGGCTCCCTCTCTTCTCCCCTGATGTTGCCAATCTGCTCAGGAGATCTTGCCTCATTCCACTTCTCTGGGGTATCATGCATCTCTCTTGGGAACCTTCCTGTTTCCCAGATTCACTGGCACTGGGATTGTAGGCTGACACTCCCCTGATCCATATCTAAAATCCATATATGAGTGATTACATACCATGTTTGTCTTTTTGTGACTGGGTTACCTCACTCAGGATGGTGTCCTCTAGTGCTATCCATTTGCCTGCAAATTTCAAGATTCCTTTGTTTTTTTTCTGCTGAGTAGTACTCCATTGTGTAAATGTACCACATTTTCTCTATCCACTCTTCAGTTGAGGGGTATCTAGGTTGCTTCCAGGATCTAGCTATTATATATAATGCTGCTATGAACATAGTGGAACAGACATCCTTGCTGTATGAATGGGCATCTTTTGGGTATATGCCTAAGAGTGGAATTGCTGGGCCTTGTGGTAGACTGATTCCCATTTTCCTGAGGAATCTCCATAGTGATTTCCATAATGGCTGTACAAGTTGGCACTCCCACCAGCAGTGGAGGAGTGTTCCCCTTTCTCCACATCCTCTCCAGCACAAACTGTCATTGGTGTTTTTGATTTTAGCCATTCTGACAGGAGTAAGATGATATCTCAGAGTTGACTTGATTTGCATTTCCTTAATGGCTAATGATGTTGAACACTTTCTCAAGCGTCTCTCTGCCATTTTATACTCCTCTATTGAGGTTTCACCTCATTTTTAAGTGACTTTACAATGACGTTAGCATATTGACTTTATTGACACACACCTGTTTTATGCACAACTAGTTCCTTTTCTCACAGCAGATTATTTCTAGATTGACCTCTCTGAGACTTACTAGAACAATATCCCCAGATGCAGCCAACTCTTGGTCATGGAGAAAAGGACGTTTCTTTTGACATGTCTGAAGAACTGAGGCAGAGTTGACAGGAGTGCATTTTGAAGGAAGATGTTACCTTCAACCTGGGAGAACAGAAGGTCTTTTAAGCTCCATGTTGTGGTTCTTATATGGACTTGAAATTCTAGATGGTTCATGGGGACTGAATGGTTCTTTCTTTAAAGTGCAGATAATGAAATATATCTAACAGTTTCACTGTTTTGACATCCCATTGAACATTTGCTGTGAATATAACTGCCAATTCTTTTGTGCCTATATTTTTGAGTCTCTTTAGTTTAACCAAGATACAGTATAGTTGAACTTACTTTGGACAGCCAGCTCCCAAATAATGGCATGGAGACTTCTTACTAATAGTGAAAGTTTGGCCTTAGTTGATGGGGGATGTTCTTCTTTATATATGTTTCTCTTATTGGTAGATGAATAAAACACTGATTGGCCAGCAGCCAGGCAGGAAGTATAGGAGGGGCTATGATATTAGAAGAATTCTGGGGAGAGGAGGCAGAGAGAAGCAGGCAGGGAGAGATGTCATGTAGCAACTGGGAAGATAGGATGCACCGGGTGTTGTCTGGTAAGATAAGGCCATGTAGAAATACATAGATTAATAGTTATGGATTAATAATTAAGAGAGAGCTAGCCAGTAAGAAGCCTGAGCTATTGGCTAATGGTTTCTAACTCATATAAGTCTCTGTGTGTTTATTTGGGGCAGAGTGGCTGTGGGACCAGGCAGGACAGGAATTCCAATTGGGCGTGTTCCCAACTAGCTCTTATAACTTAAACTAACCCATGTATATTAATCTACATTCTACCATGTGGCTCATTACCTCTCCTCTCTACTGTCTTACTGGTGAATTCCCTACCTCTCTTCTTCCCAGAGTTCCTATCTCTTCCTGGAAGTCCTGCCTATCCTCTCCTGCCTAGCTATTGGCCATTCAGCTCTTTATTAAACCAATCAGAAAGCACCTTGGCAAAGACACATCTTCACAGTGTACAAAAAGACTATCCCACAACACTATATGTTTAATAGTTTCCAGGTTCAGATATATTTGTATACATGTTCATATCCCAACAAGGAGCGCTCTCCTGTAAGAAAGATGTCACAGTGAAAAGGAGTCTGTGGAGTCCCACCAGGCCAGAAATGCAATGGGGACAGAACAATTTTCTTTTTCTTTTTATTTCATACGTTATATCCCTACTGTACTACCCCTCCCTCTAACCTTCCTAGTCACCATCACCACCTCCTCCCCCAAATCTACTCCTCCATTCCCTTAGATTGCCTGATCCAGCCTTGATAAGAAGGTTTGCACTGAATGGCTAAAATCGAAAACACCAATGACAGTTTATGCTGGAGAGGATGTGGAGGAAGGGGAACACTTCTCCACTGCTGTTGGGAGTGCAAACTTGTACAGCCACTTTGGAAATCATTATGGAGATTCCGCAGGAAAATGAGAATCAGTCTACCACAAGGCCCAGCAATTCCACTCTTAGGCATATACCCAAAAGATGCCCATTCATACAAAAAGGACGTCTGTTCCACTATGTTCATAGCAGCATTATTTGTAACAGCCAGAACCTGGAAGCAACCTAGATACCCCTCAATTGAAGAGTGGATAGAGAAAATGTGGTACATTTACACAATGGAGTACTATTCATCAGAAAAAACAATGGAATCTTGAAATTTGCGGGCAAATAGATGGCACTAGAAGAAACCATCCTGAGTGAGGTAACCTAGTCACAAAAAGACAAACATGGTATGTATTCACTCATATATGGATTTTAGACATGGGTCAGTGGAATGCCAGTCTACAATCTCACTGCCAGACAGTTTGGGAAACAGAACCTTCATCCAGTGACTGATGGAAGCAGAGGCAGACACTCACAGCTAAACACTGAACTGAACTCCTGGAACCCAGCGACAAAGAGGGAGGACTTATGAGCAAAAGGGTCAAGACTGGGCTGGTGAAACCCACAGAAACAGCTGACCTGAACAAGGGGGAGCTCATGGACCCCAGACTGATGACTGAGATGTCAGCATGGGACTGATCCAGACTCCCTAAATTTGGGTGTCAGTGAGGAGACCTAGGCAATCTATGGGGCCTTGGGTAGTACATCAATATTTATCCCTGGTGTACAAATGGACTTTGGGTGCCCATCCCACAATGAGGGATGCTCACCACTTTTGGTGGAGGGCCTAGGCCCTGCCCTGTACTAAATGACAGACTCTAGAGATTCCCCCATGGAGGGGGGATTGGGTGGGAGGCTGTGGGCGCCATGGGGGCCAGGGAGGAGGGGAGGGAGAAGGATCTGGGATTGATGTGTGAAGCAAGCTTGTTTCTAATTTAAATTAAACAAATCTTAAAAAAAGAAGGTTTGTGCCTAGTCTTATTGTAATTTATTAAGATAGAGCAATTTTCCATGGAATGGTGACAGCTGACACTAGGGTTAGAACCAGTGGCTCATGGTGTACACTTCAAAAACACAGCAACATGCTGCCCCATTGTTTTGATTTATATGAATCCCAATGTCTAATTTAGCATGAAAGTCAATTATTATAAAGAAGAGCAAGAGGATTTTATAAAAAATGTTTAGATCAAGAAGGGATGTGGATTTAGAAAAGATATAAAAAAAAAAAACAACAAACCTACATGGGAAAAAGTAAAGGCAGAGAACACCCAAAACGCCTGTGGGAGCAGACAGGACTGGCCAGTGGGTGGGGAGACTGGAGGATTAGCAATTCTATCATTATGTGTTGGTAGTAACTATGGCCAAAAGAAGGGCAAGACTGATAACATCAAATGCACTTGATCCTTTGATTGAAAATAAAACTAAAAGGCGAAGCATGAGCCGATGGACAGAGTAACAGCTGCACTTACTCAAATGCTTGGAGTAAGGGTCCATATTTGCTTTCTCTGCAGATGAGAATATGGTGGCTCTCAGACCTTTCCATAGATTATTTTCTGTTTCGTTTACACTTTTTATAAAACATAAGAACCATTTGTAGCTCACAAGTTGTACAATAATCATTTGTGGTCCCGATTTGGCCCATGCAAACTATTTTGGCTTCTTCCATTATGACAAAGAACTAGAAAAAAGGAAATACAGGTATTAATCTCAAGAAATTTTTTAAAAATGGTGAGTAAAAATTAACACAAGTGAAACACTAAAGAGAAATTGATTAATACAGGCAAAGGCTGAAATAAGTGGCAGAGGAAAGAAATGAAATGAGTAGAAAGAATAAATATATTCAAAACTTGGTTCTGAAAATGCATAAAATAGGATAGCCTCTTGCAGTCTGAGTAAACACTGGAAATGGATCAAGGAAGAAATGAAAACTTGAGTAGGACAATTTCCACAGGGGAAAGTTGACTCAAGATTTACCCCTGAAAAATTAGTGAACCAGAATCACTTGACATTCACAAAACAAGTAATTCCACATTTAAAAAATAGTATCAGTTCTCTTAGAATTCCTACAATGTATTTTAATCATCACCCAGCTCCTCTTAGATCCAGCCAGTCCCTACACACCCACCCAACTTCATGTTCTCTCTTGTTCTCTTTGAAACCCCATTGTCTACATTTAAAAGAAAGAAATGAAAATGCTAAAGCAACAGACAAAAGTGGAAAGTTCTAGAAATTATCTTCCCTTTGGGAAGTTAAAAGCCAGAGTCTCTAGAACTGGAGCTGCAAGTAGGTTTTGTCTTGGGTGCCAGCTTGCCTGAGTGTCTGCTAGAGCCCAGAGGGAGCAGACGAGGTCAGCTGACATCCAAGGGGTGAACGTGGGATCCACTTTGCTATTCCCAACTCAACATGAACTATGAAATCAAATGGGTCTAATGAGCCAGTTCCTACAAATAGAGCCAGGGATCACTGTAGGATGCCTCCCACACTTCTGAACCATTTGGGATGATTTCCAAACTCAGTGAAATGTATAGTCCTCCAAAGACCATTCAGTAACAGTACAAAACCCAGGTCCCAGCTCAATTCCACAATAGCCAGTGAGTTAGAGAAACCCCAGGCTGCAAGAGCCATTGATATCAAGGGGCATGCCCTATCTGATTGAAGTCTGTGCAAGGAAGGTCAACATCTTTGCTGAGCTGTGGTTAATCAGGCAGCATCCCATTCTGTTGATGTGATGGTGACCCTAGCCCCTCTTCTAGTTCTCTGAATGTAAAAGCAGACTTGAGGCTGCCACGTCCAGCCTTACCTGGGTTAAGGGCTTCTAGCTTGGAGGGAGAAAGCAAGGGGAATGGAGAGGATCCGCGGCTGCCACGAGTAAATCTTCATTATTATAAAAAAGAGAAGCGTGGCTTTACCGTCCTCAGTTTTATGATGGAGTAAAATAAAATGGGAAGGGAAAGCAAGAGAAACGACCCCTCAGCAAACGCCCTCAAACCTAGCACGTGTTTACTTAAGCAACTCTTCAAACACAACCCTGGGTGTCCGTTAAATCAGCAGGCATGTCAGTTGGCACTTCTGGTTACGGACCATTTTACAGTCATAGCCGTAAAAGCCATTTGCCCTCTGTCTCCCAACCAATCAGGATCCAGGCAAGAGGAAGCAAGGCTGATGCTGGCCAGCTTTCTCCTGACTTTCCACGCCCTGATTTTATCAGAACGCCACCCAAAGCTGCCTCTCTGGGTTAGAAAGGTCCCATGCCTGCCTTGCTCTCCTAAGGAGCGGCGGATGAATTAACTCGCCAAGAAGGGCAGAGGTGGAGCAGACACTGGCCGTGGTGCCTGCCACACCTGCCACGGGAGCCATCCAGGTAGACCGCCGCGATTTGAAGCAGATGCCAGGGCTGGGCCACACGCAGGCGACCTTGATTTGCCTCACTTTCCTTCCTCTCTATCACCGCGTTACTGACACAGAGGCTGCCCAGTCCTGACTATCCTGACCGCGCAAATGACGCATCTTAAGGCTTTCCCCAGATGTCTTTACCTCTGGGATCCCCCAAATCTGTGGTCTTCCCTTCACGCCTGCCGTTTCCTGATTCTTAAGATATTTCTTCATTTACTAATACCGCTAAGCAGCGGTCCTCACAACCCCAGTGGGAACCGGGACAGTCCCATCTCGTCCCCCACTCCATCTCTGCCTGGACATTTTGTGTGTTGTCCGTCTCTCCAGTCACAACAGGCTGGGGTCAATTTTCCAGTGGCAGCTTGGAAATAATAGTGTAAAATGTATATTAATACAGAAATATATTGTGAAACTGTCCTTAAACAAACAAATGAGCCACTTTAAAATATTACTGCTATAAATGACCATGACAGTAGCACAGCACATATAATAAAAAATAACCGCTGAAGAGAATCTGCTGAGTTACTATAGTAATAAACCAGATGTGATTATTATCATTTAACACGGTCATTGAATACCATGAATCCCTGAAGCCATTAAAATATTTATGATTAAACATTTGCTATTCCTTAGAACAGAACATATAGTTAGGTACTAAAAAACAGTTGAAGTATTACTTCAACTAATCTGTGCCAGTTCAGTAATGGAGGTCAACCAGCATTCGGTGGTGGTTTTCAGAGGCGAGACAAGCAGCCGCCCCTCCGTATCTGGACACATGTGGGCATGTTTCTGCTGTGGTTATATACTCTGTTGGTGCAGGGTAGGGTGCTGTTAGTCCCTTCCAATTTTAATGAGACGTTCCCTGTACACTGTGTCTGCCTGTGCCTGCCTTCCATGCAATTGAGCTCTACTCTGTACCTATTCCGGGCAGGGTCAGCTTCACTGAGGGCAGAAGGAAACCCACCCGGCCACTGAGCAGCCTGTCCTGTTAGAAAGAAGAGCCGGGTGAGATTTCTTTACCATAACCACTTGAGACTTCGCTGAATGTTTTAATTACATTCTCCATAAAAATGAGACTTGACGAGGTTTTTTTTTAGAGGGATAGCAACAGCAATTGCCTTTCCTCGTATCTGTAGAGACAGAGACCTTCCAAAGACTAGGTGCTTGAAACTCTGAGAATAACATGAAAAGAAAGAACTAATTTTAGAAAGAGACCTGGAATTGGCTGGCAGATCTGACCATAACTGGAAGCACGATATTTAAGATATGTTATTTAGCGTCACGTGGCCTCATGCTTTGCCAAAGTGCCAGTCAGTTTTCTCATGCAATCATGGCAATTACACATATTGGTGTGATGTGTAGAAAACATTTATCTCTACTGCCATATGGATAATAGGTATTTAATAAACATTAATTTATTAAATGATGAATGAACGGTGAATTTACTCACTGTTTCCACACTACCACGATAACAGCTCAACTCCTGCCGTAAGTAGTCACCTATCGGGAGCTCATTTGGCTCCCAGCGTGTCTCTCGAGCTTCTCATGGGGTTTTGGCAGTGTGACACAGCTCTGTCATGTGGGTTCCATATTTGCCTTTAAGCCTCCAAGTTTTAGTCACATAGTCTACCCTGTTCTTGTTGTGGTCTCACATCTGTGGGATCGGTAAGCTGGGCAGTGGCCTGACATGTGAGCGGGGGCTCTCATAAAGCCTCCAAAGAGGAGCTGGAAAGAGTTTCCAAGAGTCCCGCTGTTCAGTCAGTCTAATGAACTATTGGATCATTAGAGACTTTGCCATCCACCAGTCATTAGATCAGCAGCCATTCACTGACAACAGGGTTCTCCTGCTTAAAAAGGCTCCCATCAAAATGCACTCAGGGCATCGCTGGGTCCCCGAATCCGAAAAAGTGGCTCCCCTCACTCTTTTTGAGTTAGCTGCCGCAGTCGCAAAGTGGGGGCTGGTTTGGAACAGCTGCTTAAGCACTCCGCCCAGGAGCGGTGCTGCGGAGTCCATCCTCTACCCAAGAGCTGGATGGCCACGCCCGGGACTCCTGGGGCTTTCTGCAATTCTGGTTCTTGTGCGGCTCCCTTCAGTCCTTTGTTTTTGTTGACCTCTGACCTCTGGGTCTCTCCTCTGCCCGTAGTCACCAGTGTCTTCTAGAACCTCCAACCTCTATCACATCAAGCAAAAGCCTGGAGTGACAGTTCTGTGCACATGTGTGTGACAGATGTTATATTGAAACTGGGTTTAGCAAATAACTGACTGCTAATGGTAATTGAAGCTGGGATTTTTTTTTATGATAGTTTCTAAGTCTTACTACATCTAGGCAAGTCTCTGTCAGCTCATCTCCTAAGTGGCTCCCTCTGCTGTCTAGCTGCTCTGCCCTGTCAAAACGTTCCCTGCTCACCTGTGCTGGTGGAGGTTCTGTACCACCTGGTCCCACAGTCGTTTAGTCCCAAATCAACACCCGGAGAATAATGTCCATTTTTACTCCTGAGTTCTCAGACTGCACCTAGAACTTGAAAGTTGGTGTTGTTACGTAGGGTAGTTTACCCTTGACTTGGAACCCAGCTGAAGGTCACCAAAACAATTCACTGAACTATTTGCTAAATAAAGTTCAGCTAAGTGGTATGATTATTCTGAGGCATTTGCAAGCATGTGTGAGTACTTAAATACTATTCATGTCAGCTCCTGGTCTTCCTTTCTTAGGAAGCTGTGTTGGAGAGCCTGTTGTCCTCACCATGCTGGCCCAGGCACCGTACTTCACTGCAGTAAAACTTGGTCTCAGAAGGGCAGGCTTGTTGGGTTGTACATCGAGCTGGTTTCTGCTGCAAGAATGTGCTTCTCACGTTTCCATGAGAGATATATTGTCCAGTGTGTAAGTCTTTGTTTCAAATGTTTTGTTAATATTCAAACACTGGCAAAACTATTTTGAGGACAGAATGCTTCTGATAAAGAAATGCAGGCCTTGGTGGGGGAGGTGAGACCCCTTCAGAGTGGGTCCAGCTGGGCCGTCTGATTCATTTTGGTTCTAGATTTCCTAGTTTTTGATAAAGACTCGGTTAACTGCTAGTAATTTTGTTTTTTTAAGCAGGAGAGAGCCTATCAATTTTAGCTCATTTACCTTTACATTTGCTTTAATGTTTAGCAGAAACCATTATTATTTAGTTATCTCCATTTTTAAAAAAGCATTAAAGCCACAGGACAGAGATCTAATCTTCTTGCTGGTGGAATGCTACGGTGTGCTGACATTAATTCCTTCAAGGATTCTGGATGGAACTTAAGCAACTATGACAATAATTACTCTCCTGATTGTTTCCTAACCAAAGCTTTATGTTAGCAATAATTCGAAGTCCACATTATACATTAACCCATTGAGTCATACAGGCCCCTGGGAAGCAGACATTATTGAACCCCATATTTAATTCTTTCCCATTGGTGTGATTAAATACCCAGCTAAAGCAACCTGAGGGGGGACAGGTTTATTTTAACTCATGCATAGGGCAATTGTGGTTGGGGAGGCATGGCAGCAGGAGCTCTTTGTGATTGGCAGTTGGAGCTCGCTCATACTAGGGAGGATCAAGCAGCAGATGTTGGACAGGAGGCGGGGCCAGGCAATAAACTTTAAGCCCTACCCCTCCTGTGACACACTTCCTTCTGCTAGACCTATCTCCCTAAGGCTCCACAGTTCCCTAAAAAGTGTCACCAGCTGGGCACCAAGTATGCAAATGAGTGGCATTTCATATTTAAGTCATAAGGAATTTCCACCACCCCTCTCCCTTTTGAGGCTAGGTCTTAAGTAGCCCAGGCTGGCCTCCAACTCACTGTGCAACAAAGGCTGATCTTGAATTGCAGATCTTCTTGCTTTGACCTCCCAAGTGCTGGGGCTATTGGCCTGTGCCACCACACCCAGCTCCAATGTCCCTATGTCACTTACAGAGACTCACTTCAACAAAGTGATTCTGGAGTCTCCTGTTACTATGGCTACCACATTTATTTTCGGCACTTGTTTGTCTCTCTGCCTGGCTGACTTAGTGCAAGCCAGGAATTTGTCTGTACTACCTGCTACCTGCACAGTGGCTGACATACAAAGGTTACCTGATTAGTTAGTTGACAGGATGACAGGACCAATGAATCTGTGTTGAGAGGAGCAACTCCCTTGAAGTCACCAGGTAAGAAATTCAAGACTCAAGGCCATGGCTGCTAGACCTCCAGGTGGGAGTTCTTCCGTGTCGTGTAAGAATTTCCTTTGTTAATCAACGTAGAAATAAAACCTGAGTATTGCCACTCTTATGGTGGAAGGAGCCACAGACCACGGGCAAAGCCCCCAAAGCGTCTCTTAGCAACTTGGAAGCCTGGCTTTGAGACTAGACAGACAAGGAGTGGGTGAGATGCTGTGGAATGGAGGGTTGTAGGGGTTGTGTAGAAATTCTTTTCTTAAATGAAAAGCCCAAATAAAGTAAATAAATGAAAACATAAATCACTGTGTCTTCTCCAGGCTCTTGGCTGCGGGAAAACAAATTAGAAAGGGCTTGAATGAAAGGTGTATTGAAGAGGCTTGGCTTGAATTAAGTGGTTATATATTTTCAAAGCACTTTG